GGCAATGAGGAATTTGCAGGAGCTAAGGGGGTGTGATGGTTGGCAATTGCAGGGAGGGAGATAAACCGTAGATACAATCAGGTAGACGGATGACCTCCAGGAAAGGTAGGAGAGGAAGGCAGGTAGTGTAGGAATCTCCTGTGGCTATCCCCATTTCAAACAAGTATGCTGTTTTGGAAAATGTAGGGGGTGATGGACTCTTGGGAATATAACACTGACAGCCAGATTTCTGACACTGAGATTGGCTCTAATGTAATGAGGGGTACGTCAGATTCCAAACGATCGATTCTGACAGGGGTCAGAGGCATAGATAGACATTTCTGTGGCCAATAGTGAGATATCAGAATAGTGTATTGCTTCACTGGAGCAAGCATCAAGGATAGATCGGAGAAGGTGCAGAATATTCTCAAAGGGGAGAGAGACCAGCAGGAGGTCGTTGTACACATTGGAACCAACAACGAAAGGAGAGAAAAGGATGAGGTTCTGAGGAGAGAATGTAAGAAGTTAGGCAGGAATTTAAAAAGGAAGCCCTCGAGAGTAGGCATACTCCCAGTGCCATGAGCTAGTGAGGGTTGGAATAGGAGAATAGAGCAGATGAATGTGGAGCTGAGGAGGAGAGAAAGATTCATAATTTTGGATCATTGGGATCTCTTCTCGGGTAGAAGAGGCCTGTATAAGAAGAATCAATTGTACCTGAATTGGAAGGGGACTAACAAACTTTTGGAGAGATTTGCTAGAGCTGCTCGGGAGAATTTTAAATTAGTAAGGTGGGGGTGGGGGATGGGACCCAGGAAGACAGTGAGAAAACAGATCAGTCTGAGACTGGTACAGCTGGGAAAAGGAGTAAATCAAACAGTCAGGGCAGGCAGGAACAAAGCAGAGAATGAGGTAGGACTGATAAATTAAACAGCATTTATTTCAATGCAAGAGGCCTGACAGGTAAGACAGATGAACTCAGGGCATGGTTGGGAACATGGGACTGGGTTATCATAGCAATTACAGAGATATGACTCAGGGATGAACAGGACTGGCAGCTTAATGTCCCAGGGTCTGGATGCTGTACGAAGGATAGAAAGGGGGGCAAGAGAGGAGGGGGAGTGGTGTTTTTAATTAGGGATAACATTATGGCTGTACTTAGGGAGGATATTCCTGGGAATACAACTGAGAAATAAGAAAGGGACAATCACCTTATTGGGATTGTACTATAGACCCCCAAATAGTCAGCTGGAAATTGAGAAACAAATTTGTAAGGAGATCTCAGTTATCTGTAAGAATAATAGGGTGGTAATGGTAGGGGATTTTAACTTTCCAAACATAGACTGGGACTGCCAAAGTGTTAAGGGCTTGGATGGAGAGGAATTTGTTAAGTGTGTACAAGAAATCTTTTCTGACTCAGTATGTGGATGTCCCTAATAAGGAAGGAGCAAAACTTAACCTACATTTGGGAATAAGACAGGGCAGGTGACTGAGGTGTCAGTTGAGGAGCACTTTGGAGCCAGTGACCATAACTCTATTAGATTTAAAATAGTGATGGAAAAGGATAGACCGGATCTAAAAGTTAAAGTTCTAACTTGGAGGAAGGCCAATTTTGACAGTATTAGGCAAGAACTTTCAAAAGTTGATTGGGGGCGGAAGTTTGCAGGTAAAGAGATGGCTGGAAAATGGGAAGCTTTCAAAAATGAGATAATGAGAGTCCAGGGACTGTATGCTCCTATTAAGGTGAAGGACAAGGCTGGTAAGTGTAGGGAATGCTGGATGACTATAGTAATTGAGGTCTTGGTCAAGAGAAAGAAGGAAGCATACATCAGGTATAGACAGCAGGGATCGAGTGAGTCCCTAGAAGAGTATAAGGGCAGTAGGAGTATACTTAAGAGGGAAATCAGGAAGGCAAAAAGGGGACATGAGAGAGCTTTGGCAAATAAGGTTAAGGAGAATCCAAAGGGATTCTACAAATACATTAAGGAGTAACTAGGGAGAGAATTAGGCCCCTTGAAGATCAGCAAGGCTGCCTATGTGTGGAACTACAGGAGATGGGGGAGATACTGAACAAGTATTTTGTATCAGTGTTTACTGTGGAGGTTGATATGGAAGGTGTAGAACTTGGAGAAATAAATCGCGACATCTTGAAAAATGCCCATATCACAAAGGAGGTAGTGCTGGATGTCTTAAAACGCATAAATCCCTGGGACTGATTTCCACACTACGATCTTCAGAGTTTACAATCCCTCTGAGTTTCGTGCCATCTGCAGAGTTTGAAATTACCGCTACACGAGATCCACATCATTAATTGACATCAGGAGAAGCAAGTGCCTCAATACTGACCCCTAGGGAACCTCACTGCATACTGTCCTCTAGTCTGAAGAACATCCATTGACCAGTAGTCTCTGTTGTCCTGTTCCTTTTACAGCGAGACTGACCGAGACCAATACGTACAGGAAGAGCACCCCCTCCCACTGAAACACTCCCAACAACTGGATTAGGAATAGTAGGAACTGCAGATGCTGGAGAATCTGAGACAACAAGGTGCAGAGCTGGATGAACACAGCAGGCCAAGCAGCATCATAGAAGCAGGAAACCACTCAGAGTACGCATTTGTTTATCCTTTGGATGTTCAGAACGCCCAAAAGCCTGATTCAAATATTTTTTTTAAAAAGCTCATTCACAGGATGAGGCCAGCATTTATTGCTCATTTCCCAGGGTCAAATGTAGGCCAGACAAGGATGGCAGTTTTCTTCCCTAAAGGGCATTAGTGAACCAGATGTGTGTTTCCCTGCCAATCCACACTTAATACCAGATATTTTATTGCAGCATTAGGATTTGAACCTGGGTCCCCACAACATTATCTAGTTCTCTGGATAATGCCACTATTTCATTTGACAAGGTGCCACACCAAAGGCTGCTACATAAGATAAAGTTGCACGGTATTACAGGTAATGTATTGGCATGGATAGAGGATTCGTTGACCAGTAGAAAGCAAAGAGTAGGGGTAAATGGGTGTTTTTCTGGTTGGCGGTCAGTGGCTAGTGGTGTGCCTCAGGGATCAGTGTTGGGACCGCAATTGTTTACAATTTACATAGATGATTTGGAGTTGGGGACTAAGTGTGGTTTGTCAAAATTTGCAGATGACACTAAGGTGAGTGGTAGAGCAAAGTGTGCAGAAGACACTGAAAGTCTGCAGAGGGATATAGATAGTCTAAGTGAGTGGGCAAAGGTCTGGCAGATGGAGTACAATGTTGATAAGTGTGAGGTCATCCATTTTGGTAGGAATAACAGCAAAATGGACTATGTTTTAAATGGTGAAAAATTGCAGCACGCTGCTGTGCAGAGGGACTTGGGTGTCCTTGTGCATGAATCGCTAAAAGTAGGATTGCAGGTGCAGCAGGTAATTGAAAAGGCAAATGAAATTTTGTCTGCCATTGCTAGAGGGATGGAGTTTAAAAACAGGGAGGCTGTGCTGCAGCTGTATAGGGTCCTGGTGAGGCCACACCTGGAGTACTGTGTGCAGTTTTGGTCTCCTTACTTGAGAAGAGATATACTAGCACTGGAGGGGGTGCAGAGGAGATTCACTCGGTTGATTCCAGAGTTGAGAGGGTTGGATTATGAGGAGAGACTGAGTAGACTGGGATTATACTCATTGGAATTCAGAAGAATGAGGGGAGATCTTATAGAAACATCTAAGATTATGAAGGGAATAGATAAGGTGGAGGCAGGGAGGTTGTTTCCGCTAGCAGGTGAAACTAGGACTAGGGGGCATTGCCTCAAAATAAAGGAAAGCAGATGTAGGACTGAGGTCAGGAGGAACTTCTTCACCCAGAGGGTTGTGAATCTGTGGAATTCCCTGCCCAGTGAAGCGGTTGAAGCTACCTCGCTGAATGTTTTTAAGGCAAGGCTAGATAAATTTTTGAACAGTAAAGGAATTAAGGGTTATGGTGAGCGGGTGGGTAAGTGGAGCTGACTCTCGAAAAGATCAGCCATGATTTTATTAAATGGCGGGGCAGGCTCGAGGGGCCGGATGGCCTACTCCTGCTCCTAGTTCTTGAGTTCTTATGTTATCCATATAATACCACTAGGCCACTGCTTCCCCTTCCATCAAGGGAATTGATGATAGATGCAGCCTCAGGCAACTGTCTGTGTGGAGTTGACACATCGTCCCCAAGTCTGTACGGGTTTCCTCTGGGTGCTCTGGTTTTCCTCTAACAATCCGAAGACATTTAGGGGGCTTGGCCGCGCTAAATTGCCCACAGTATCTCGGGTGGGAAATTCAGGGATAGGGCAGGAGGTGGGTCAGGGTGGGATGTTCCTCAATGGGCTGAACAGCCTGCCTCCACACTGTGGGCAAACTTGATCACTGAGACCCCCCGCATTTTTCACTGCAGTCCAAAGTTTGAATCGTGATTGAAGAGGATCCAACATCCTCTCCAACGCAAGGCTAACCAGGAACATCCTCTGTTCTGACTGAATAAATGAATGATTTTATTGTCATGTGTATTTCGCAGCGAAAAATACAGCGAAAATCTTCCCTTGGTGCCATTTTGCACAGTTTAAGAATAATTCTTAAAGTAAAATGTCGCGTTTTAAAGGGAGTCCATAACCCTTCCACCTCTGCCAATGCCAGACCCAATGTTGCTCCTCAGGTGCCATCTTTATCCACTGGGCCTGCCTCACCAACATAGCAGCTGGTACTGGGTCCTATGCTCACCCTCCGCCAGCCACTACTTCAAAACCGTTGCCACACTCCTGCTCTGGGCACACTGCCTGCCTCGTCGAACTAAAAGGTTACAGAGAGACTGATGGAGGTAGTGAAGAGAGTTACTGAGGTGCCTTGGGAAGGAGGTGTGACATTATGGATGAAGCTACTCCCATGTTGCAGTTGGCAGATAGCCATTGAAGAGAGCGACACAGGTATGTCAGGGTGAGTCACCATGTCAACATTCAACTGGTCCCACCCCATTCTTCACACACACGACATGTGCTGGAGGAACAAAAAAACCCACAGTTTAGGCTCCATACCTCAGCTGTTAAAGCACTGGTCTTGTAAACCAGGGGTCATGAGTTCAAATCTCATTGGGGCCTCTCTCTGCTTTTGATAGTTGGTCAGTTTGCAACATTTTACATTCTGTTCTCAAACAACTCTCACACTCATCCTCAAACATCTCACTCCCTCCTTATCGTCAAAACCAAACCCTGCACCTTGCTGCAAATCCCGGTCGTAGGTAGAGAGTGCTGCACAGACCCTATCAGCATCTGTGGACAGAGAAACAGAGTTACTGTTTCTTACCATCACCCTCTGTCCTTCTCCAATTCTCCCTCTATTACCCACCCCTCTCCTGCATTTATCCCTGTCTCTCCTCCCTCACTCTTTTCATTTCACTCTCTCTCTCTCCACAATCCATTGCTGCCTCTCTCTCTTTCACTGTCCAATTCCTTTCCTGCGGACCTTATTCAATGGGCCAGACTAGCCTGAGGGGCTGAATGGCCACCTTCTGCTCCGGTTTTCTCAACTTGCCTTAAAAGTTCCTTTTATTCCATTCCCTGCTGCTGCTGCCCTCCTCATTAAAGAGACCTTGAGCTTTAAAAGACCAAATGCAACAAGATCTGGACAATATCCAGGCTTAGGCTGACAACGGGCAAGTGACGTTCGCGCCACACAAATGCCAGGCTAAGACCATCACCAACAAGAGACAATCTAACCATCCCCCCTTGACATTCAGCGGTGTTACTATCACTGAATTGCTCGCTATCAACATCCTCAAGATTACCATTGACCAGAAACTCAACTGGACTCACCACATAAACACAGGGGCTACAAGAGCAGGCCAGAAGCTAGGAATACTGCATACTCCTGACTCTCCAAAGCCCTGTCCCACCATTGGCAAGCCACAAATCAGGAGTGGGATGGAATACTCGCCACTTTCCCTGGATGGGTGCAGCCCCAACAACACTCAAGAAACTCGACACCATCAGGATAAAGCAGCCCCTTGATTGGAAATGCATTCACAAACATCCAGCCGATGGGTCTGGTGGGGATGCCACAGTGTACTGGCATTGATTGCGAGCTCAAAGACAAACTTTAATGTTCTGGGGACTGGGGTTCAAATCCTGCTGCGGTAGATGGTGGTATTTGAATTAGGATTAAAAAATGAAATGGAATTAAGTGTCCATCAGACCATGAAACCATTGCAAATTACCTGAAGGGCTGCGACAAAGTTAACTGTTAGTTTGACCCAGCCTGGTCTACATGTGACCCCAGCCCCACAGCAGAGATCGTACGATTAACTCAATAGGTGAGTACAATACATTACATGAGGTAGACGTTGTATCTGAGAACTGATCTGTGTGAACGTAGCTTACAAACCCACAGTGTACAGACTGGCAACAGCACTGTCCTGGAGTATTAATCCCTCTCTGGCAATTTGAATAATGAACAAAACCAGAAGGTTGCTCAGCAGTTCTGGCAGCGTCTGTGAAGGAAAAAAAATCAGAATTAACATTTCAGGTCCAATGACCCTTCCTCAGAACAGACAATGGGCAATGAACACTGGCCTAGCCAGCAATGACTATATCCTGTGAGTAAATGAATTTAAAACTGTCTCCACCCCTAACGCTCAGTCGCAGCAGTGTGTACCGTCTACAAGATGCCCTGCAGAAACCCACCAAAGATCCTCAGACAGCATCTTCCAAACCCACGGCCACTTCCATCTAGAAGGACAAGGGGCAGCAGATACATGGGAACACCAGCCCCCTGCAAGTTCCCCTCCACTCCCCATCCTGACGTGGAAATATATCGCCGTTCCTTCAGGGTCGCTAGGTCAACATCTTGGAATTTCCTCCCTAAGGGGCATTGTGGGTCAACCTAAAATAGATAGACTGCAGCGGTTCAAAAAGGCAGCTCACCCCCACCTTTTTGAGGGGGCAACTAGGAACTGGCAATAAATGCTGGGCCCAGTCAGTGATGACCACATCCCATGGGTGAACAGAAAGAACTGTGACAGAGCCCGATGGGATAGGTGGCACCGTTTTGACCAATTGAGAACAACCTTGGCCCCTGACATCAACGTCAACGCTTCAAGGGCAATATCAGAGACTCTTTCTAGAATTTGTCACCTCCTTCCCCGAAACGTTAGCCATTTGAGATTTGAGAAAAGGTGGGGGAAACAGATTTCAATGTGATGGCTTTGCAGGTGTTTTAAAATTAACGATATATACCAGAGAAAGAGAGAGAGAGAGAGAGAGAAATAGATCATGAGAGATGATAAGTAAAAGCAAAGGGAGTGAGAAAATGTGAAAAGTTGAATGAAGAAAATGTGTGAAAGTCAGAACGAGAGTGAGGCGAACAGTCACAGGCCATATGACATGATCTGAGAGTAAGGAGTCACCCACTTAAGGTAAAGTTAAGATGGAACTTCTTTTCTTGGAGGAGAATGAATCTGTGGAAGGGATGTCGAGGCTGGGCCATTCAAGGTCGGGGGAGGCAGATTTTTAATCCGGAAGGGGATCGAGGGGTTACAGGGAAAAGGCAGGAAAGTGGAGTTGAGGATTATTAGATCAGCCACAATCCCATTGATTGGCTGAGCAGACATGATGGGCTGAATGGCCTCCTCCTGCTCCAACATCTTATGAAGGATCTGAGAGTGAGATAGCAGGAGAAAGTTAAACCTGGAAATCAGGGAGCGATGGTGAAGAGAGTTACTGAGGTCCCTTGGGAAGGAGAAATGACATTATGGATGGAGCCACTCCCATGTTACTCTTGGCAGATAGCCATTGAAAAGAGTGACACAGGTATGTCAGGGTGAGTCACCATGTCAACATTCAACTGGTCCCACCCCATTCTTCACACGCACGACATATGCTGGAGGAACAAACAAACCCACAGTTTAGGCTCCATACCTCAGCTGTTAAAGCACTGGTCTTGTAAACTAGGGGTCATGAGTTCAAATCTCATTGGGGCCTTTCTCTGCTTTTGATAGTTGGTCAGTTTGCAACATTTTACATTCTGTTCTCAAACAACTCTCACACTCATCCTCAAACATCTCACTCCCTCCTTATCGTCAAAACCAAACCCTGCACCTTGCTGCAAATCCCGGTCGTAGGTAGAGAGTGCTGCACAGACCCTATCAGCATCTGTGGACAGAGAAACAGAGTTACTGTTTCTTACCATCACCCTTCAACGCAACTCTGTCCTTCTCCAATTCTCCCTCTATTACCCTCCCCTCTCCTGCATTTATCCCTGTCTCTCCTCCCTCACTCTTTTCATTTCACTCTCTCTCTCTCCCTCTCTGTATCTCCACAATCCATTGCTGCTTCTTTCTCTCTCGCTGTCCAATTCCTTTTCTGCCGATCTTATTCAATGGGCCGGACTCGCCTGAGGGGTCTGCTTCCATTTTCTCAACTTGCCTGAAATGTTCCTTTTATTCCATTCCCTGCTCCTCATTAATGAGACCTTGAGCTTCAAAAATCCAAATGCAACAAGATCTGGACAATATCCAGGCTTCGGCTGACACGTGTCAAATTAACATTCGCGCCACACAAATGGCAGGCTGTGACCATCACCAGCAGAGACAATTTAACCACTGCCCCTTGACATTCAATGGTGTTCCCATCACTGAATCCCTCACAATCAACATCCTGGACTGACCAGAAACTCAACTGGACCCACCACATAAACACAGCGGCTCCAAGAGCAGGTCTGAGGCTGGGAATCCTGCAGCAAGTAACTCCCCTCCTGACACCCCCCAAAGCCTGTCCCACCATCGACAAGGCACAAGTCAGGAGCGGGATGGAATACTCCCCACTTGCCCCTGGATGGGGGCAGCTCCAACAACACTCAAGAAGCTCGACACCACCCAGGACAAAGCAGCCCCCACTCGATTGGCACCACATCCACAAACATTCAGCCATGGCCCTGGATGGACTGTCATTGGTGTAGTGGCATTATCCCCCAGGCTAGTAGCTTGGTGAACAAGGTAATGTTCTGGGGACCTAAATTCAAATCCTGCTGTAGCAAAGGGTGAGATTTAACCTATAAAATGGAATTAAAATGCAAATGAGGGCCCTCAAGCAATTGCTAATTTGCTGAAGTACTTCAGCAAAAGTACCTGCTAACATTTTCTGAAGAAGGTTCTCGGCCCGAAACGTCAGCCTTCCTGTTCCTCTGATGCTGCTTGGCCTGCTGTGTTCATCCAGCTCGACACCTTGTTACCTCTGCTAACATTACCCAGTCCAGTGCCTCCAGACTCTCACTCTCTCTTCCTTTTTATTTATCTTCTCTCACTTTCTCATTTTCTATTTCTCTCTGTCTCTGGTATATGTTATTTATTTTAAAACACCTGCAAAGCCATCGTATTGAATTACCCAATAGGTGAGTCTATTTAAAACAGTTTAACACATTACAAGTAATGAAGTAGACATTGCAGCTAAAAGCTGATATACGTGTGTGTACAAACCCACTGGCCATGGCAGTGTTCTGGAGCACTAATCACTCTCTGGGCAATTTGGACGATGAATGATGGCCGAGACAGCAATAATTATATCCTGTCAATAAATGAATTTTTTTTAAAAACTCCCTCCCCCACCGACGCTCAGTCGCAGCAATGTGTACCATCTACAAGATGCGCTGCAGAAATTCACCAAAGATCCTCAGGCAGCACCTTCCAAACCCACGACCACTTCCATCTGGAAGGACAAGGGGCAGCAGATACATGGGAACACCAGCCCCCTGCACGTTCCCCTCCGAGCCACTCACCATCCTGACATGGAAATATATCGCCGTTCCTTCAGTGTCGCTGGGTCAAAATCCTGGAATTCCCTCCCTAAGGGGGCATTGTGGGTCAACCCACAGCACAGCAGTGGTTCAAGAAGGCAGCTCACCCCCACCTTCTCAAAGGGGGCAACTAGGGACGGGGCAATAAATGTGTCCCAGCAGGCGACGCCCACATCCCGTGGGTGAACAGAGAGAACTGTGACAGAGCCTGATGGGAAAAGTGACAGCATTTTTGACCGATTGAGAACAAGCCAGCCCCGACGCAAACATTAACACTTGAAGGGGAGCGTCAAAGAGTCTTTCTAGAGTTTTC